AAGCACTTTACCACTGAGCCACCTTCCCAGCCCCTAAAATATTTTATATTTTTAACTGTTGATATAAATACAGTGTACTTATACATTCTCATAGAGTGAAATTCTACATAACAAAATCATATATCTCTCAAAGGACCCTGTCATACCCTGCTATTCCATCACTGAAAAACAAAAAAAGGCCAAAGGACCTTGGATAGTAATCTACTCTATAAGGTTCTTCTTCTTCAGCTCTGAAATGTTCTATATTTTTAATGAATTTCATCAGATAATTGCAAACTAAGTATGATAACTCATACTTCTCTATACTATAATCGTAAGAACTAACCATGAAAAACTAGAATATTCATGAATGTTTCTCCCAAATTCAGTCTTTCAAACTTTATAGGAAGCCCTTCATGTTCAACAGTTTTTTGATTATTACAATATTTGGAGCTCACTGACAACTTAAGTCAGCACTAAAATTCCTCAGGGCCAAAAGTTTTAGTCACAACTAGCCACTTTCCCTTCCTCATACTCATGTTTATCAATGTTGAAATGCATGTTTACACTTCACAGAAGATGGTAATGCTGCTCTTCAATGTTATAGAAAAAGGAATGGAAAGAATATATTAAGAGTTTGTAAGTTCAGCAACAGAAGCACCTAGGTTTATTTTATTTTTTTATTTTTATTTTTTTCAAATTTTTTATTGTGATTAAGTGGTTGCATAATTTCCCAAATTTCACAGTGTTGTGAGATAGTGGTGCTCAGTTAAAGTCACACATTCTAACTTTCCTGGAGCAAATTGTCTATCACAGTCTATAACACTTACGAGTTCTATGAGTTTTGCAATAGTTATTTCTTCCACATTGGGTGATATGTACATTTCTTTTGTTTTGCATAACATCAAGCTGTTCCCTCTTTCCCATTTGTTCCCTCCTTCCCATCGCTGCCATTGAGTTGCGTAGTTCATTTTGGCAAATGTCCAGTGCAGCTGATGGGTCCCACTGTTATATGTTTTTCCCTGATTCCCTCTAGTTCTGTGTCATCTTCCTGGTTCCCCTCTGGTGTACACATATATACCATACATGTGATCAGCAGCATGGGGTTATTTAGTAGTGATTCAACCAGATGAGTGGAAGTCCTTTGTTTCTTAAGTCTTGTTAATTTTGTCGTATCACCTTACATTTTGGATTTAACATCGACTTATCAGGGAGACCACATACCATTTGTCTCTTTGCTCGGCTTACCTTGTTCAACACGATTCCTTCTAGCTCCATCCATTTCTCTGCAAATGCCATTATTTTGTCCTTTCTAATGGCTGCATAATATTCCATTGTGTATAGATACCACAATTTTTGGATCCATTCACCTGTGGTGGGACATCTGGGTTGTTTCCATATCCTGGCTATTGTGAACAGTGCTGCAATAAACATGTAGGTGCATGTGTCCTTGTATACTGGCTCCTGTTGTTCAGGATAGATGCCTAGAAGTGGTATGACTGGGTCATAAGGGAAGTCAATATTTAGCTTTCTGAGACCCTTCCAGACTGCTTTCCAAAGTGGTTGTATAAGTGTACATTCCCACCAGCAGTGTAATAGGGTTCCTCTTTTTCCACATCCCCTCCAGCATTTGTCGTTGGCTGATTTGTGGATGTGGGACATTCTGACTGGGGTAAGGTGTTATCTCAGGGTTGTCTTTATTTGCATTTCCTTCACAACCAGGGATGGTGAACATTTCCTCATGTGTTTCTTTGCCATTTTTATTTCTTCATTTGAGAAGTCTCTCTTTAGTTCCCTTGCCCATTTAGTAATTGGTTTGTTAGGTTTGGTAGGGATTAGTTTCTTGAGTTCCCTGTATATACTGGACGTTAACCCCTTGTCTGATACATTGCTGGTAAATATTTTTTCCCAGTCAGTTGGTTGTCTTTCTAGCTTGGTTGCTATAGCTTTAGTTGTGCAAAAGCTTTTTATTTTAAGGTAGTCCCATTTGTCGAGTCTCTCTCCAATTTGTTGTGACCCAGGGACTCTGTTCATGAAGTTCCTTCCTGTGCCTATAAGATCAAATGTCTCTCCTACTCTGTCCTGCAGTAGTTTCAGAGATTCAAGTTTAATGTTAAGGTCTTTAATCCATTTTGAGTTGATGTTGGTGCATGGTGATAGGCTGGGGTCCACTTTTAGTCTTCTGCATGTGGCCACCCAGTTTTCCCAGCACCAGTGGTTGAAGAGGCTGTGTTTCTTCTATTGTATGTCTTTGGCTCCTTTGTCAAATATCAGTTGTCTGTAGGCATGTGGATTTATTTCTGGATCGTCTATTCTATTCCATTGGTCTTCGGGTCTGTTTTTGTGCCAGTACCATGCTGTCTTTTTTATTATGGCTCTATAGTAGAGTTTGAAGTTCGGCATGGATACCCCTCCCATGTTGTCTTTATTCCCTAGATTTGTTTTGGCTATTTTAGGTCTTTTGTTGTTCAATATGAATTTTTGGACTGTTTTCTATATTTCAGAGATGTACGTCATTAGGATTTTAATAGGAATTGCATTGAATTTTTATATTAATTTTGGCAGTATTGCCATTTTCACTATATTAAGTCTGCCTATCCAAGAGTATGGGAGGTCTTTCCATTTCCTAGTGTCTTCGGTAATTTCTTTCTTTAACTTTTTATAGTTTTCATTAAATAGTTCTTTTATATCTTTGGTTAAGTTAATTCCTAAGTCTTTTGGGGGAGGTTATTGTGAATGGGGTTGCTTCCTTTATTTCCCTCTCTGCTTGTACATTGTCAGTATACAGGAAGGCGACTGATTTTTGTGGGTTGATTTTTGTATCCTGCTACTTTGCTGAAGTGATGTATGATTTCTGTGAGTTTGGGGATGGAGTTTTGGGGATTGTGAAGGTATAGTATCATGTTGTCTGCAAAAAGGGATAGTTTAACTTCTTCTTTGCCTATGTGGATCCCTTTGATGTCTTTTTCTTGCCTTATTGCCCTGGCTAAGGGTTCCAGGACTATATTGAAGAGGAATGGAGACAGAGGACATTCTTGCCTTGTTCCTGATTTTAGGAGAATTGGTTGTAGCTTTTCCCCATTAAGTATAATATTGGCTATTGGTCTATCGTAAATGGCTTTTATTGTTTTAAGAAATGTTCCTTCTATTCCTATTTTCTCCAGAGCTTTTAGCATGAATGAATGTGAATTTTATTAAAGGCCTTTTCTGCATCTGTGGAGATAATCATGTGATCCTTGACCTTGGCTCTGTTGATGTGTTGGATTACATTTACTGATTTATGTATGTTAAACCATCCCTGCATCTCTGGGATGAAGCCTACCTGGTTGTAGTGTATGATTTTTTTTAATGTGTTTCTGGCACCTAGGTTTAAATGAAGTCCCTCCCATGTCTGGAACTCAGTATTACAAAAGACTGAAAGTTCCCAGCACAATTGTCCTAAACAAGGGAGAGGAAGTGATTATCAGCAATACATTAATTTCTATAACAGAAAAGCCCAGAAAGCTGGCTTACTTCTAATCCAAACTTGTAATGCCTTCCCTTGACACTGATTTAGCAGGACTTCAACTTGGGCTTTCACCCCTACTTTCACAAAGTGACTTCCAGCAGCTTTTCCTATTATGTTGGCAAAAGACCTTTGCCCATTCACACATGCAAGTCTTTCAAGAAAACCTTTGGGAGGGAAAAGAAACCTCTTTTCCATCAAAGCCCCAGGGAACATAACTTTACTTTCATTAGCTGTAATTAGTTTATGTATCAACACCTAAAGACTAGGTTCAAGTCAATGAAGACCCACCCTCAGGGCAGAGTTAGTATGAACTCTACTTATTAGACTACTACTTAGTACTTACTACTTACTATTAGACTAATGAGGAAGGAGGTTTTCTCTGGAGGACTGAGGTCCTGAATCCATGGGGGGAGGGGATGGGTAAAACCTGCATAATAAAATAGTTATCTGCTGTGTAGCTATGGGAAATGACAAAATAGAAGAAAAGCCACCAGAGCAGAGCTGGTGGGTGTTCCAGACGAAGCATCCCAGCAGTCTGATGCTATGCATGTCTCTGCAGCTTGTGAAACAACACTAGAATATGTGGTGTGTCACTTATATCTGTAGTCTTGAGCCTGAGCCAAAGGTTAAATTATGTTTGCTTAGCCAGGCACCAGTGGCTCATGCCTGTTATCCTAGTTACTCAGGAGGCTGAGATCTGTGAATCACTGTAACGATCACGATCACGATACTCTTATCTCTAATTAACCATCAGAAAACTGGAAGTGATGCTGTGGCTTTACAAAGACAGGAAGTTCATGCATGTTGGAAAAGTCTGTGTGTGTATAAGTGGTTTTTTAAAAAGACTCAAACTAAGCTACTGGACAGCTGTCTTTATGCTTCTTTGTGCTCCCATCTCAGTTTGTACCTCATGAACGCCATGGGTTTGACTGAAATAGTCAAAATTTAAAAAATTGTGTTGTGGGCTGGGAGGGTGGCTCAGTGGTAGAGTGCTTGCCTTGCATGCATGAGGCCCTGGGTTCAATTCCTCAACACCACATAAGCAGAAAAAAGCTGGAAATGGTGCTGTGGCTGAAGTGGTAGAGCGCTAGCCTTGAGCTGAAGAGCTGAGGGACAGCGCCCAGGCTGTGTTGTAATTATGTCTGGTGTTCATCTTTTAAAAGTAAGTTTCCTCTGGGCACCAGTGGCTCACGCCTGTAATCCTAATTGGAGACTGTAATCCTAGCTAAGTAGAAGGCTGAGATCTGAGGATCACAATTCAAAGCCAGCCCAGGCGATTCAAAGCCAGCCCAGGCAGGAAAGTCCATGAGACTCTTATCTCCAACAAACTAATCAGGAAAACAACAAACAAACAAAAAACAGAAGTGGAAGGGTGGCTCAAGTAGTAGAGCACTAGCCTTGACACAAAGGGGCTCAGGAACAATGCCCAGGCCCAGAGTTCAAGCCCTATAATCGGTCAAAAAAAGAAGAAGTTTTCATTTCCTGCTGAGAATTTTTTTTTCCTGTTACCCAGAATGCATACACAGCCACAGCTATCAACAGCACCAACTTCTGCACCTCAGCAAAGGATGCCTTTGTCATTCTGGTGGAGAATGCCCTGCGCGTGGCTGCCATCAACACCGTGGGGGACTTCATGCTGTTCCTAGGCAAGGTAAGACCAAGCATGTTATCTGAAACAAGAATATTATCTTGGTAACTTTTGTTTTTGTACAAATTTTCCCTTTAGCTCAACACAAAACTGCAGCTAATTTAATATATAGCAATCAGTTGTAAAGCCTTTAATGTTCAATAGATATGTTTCTATTTACTATATATGTGTTATGTTCATTTAATCCTCACAACAAACGTAGAAGGCAAATTCATTTTTCAGATGGGAGAACAGTAAAGTAGCACGTTGAGGCTAAGAAATTGCCTCTTGTTTATTCTACATGTTTTGTTGGTAAAGAATAAGGAAACAAGCTGGGCACCTGTGGCTCACACCTATAATCCTAGCTTCTCAGGAGGCTGAGATTTGAGGATCACTGACCACCTGGACAGAAACATCCTGGAGACTTACCTCCAATAAACTACTCAGAAAAAGCCAGAAGTGACATTGTGGATCAAGTGTAGAGCGCTAGCTTTAAGCAAAAGAAGCTCAGAGACAGCACCCCGGCCCTGACTTTAAGCCCCAGGACCAGCAAAAAACAAACGACAACAATAAAAACCCCAAAAGCATGAATTAGGAAACTGTCGTTGTAGTGCTAAAGGGTGATACTGCTTCTAAAGCCTAAAGTCCTAGATTTAAATTCTGGTTCTCACACTCACTAGCTGTGTGACCTGAGGCAGGTTGCATAACCTCCCTGTGTTTCTTCGTTCATTGGTACTGGAGTACAGTAAGGCCAATCTCCCAGATTTGTGAATGAATATAGGGTATCTAGGAGAGTTTGACACATTCTTCAGCTGTCATTGTTATTGAATATAGACCCTTTTAAAATAGAGCTATGAGAGACTTCTACCTCCCTTAAAAGTGTCTGAGAAGAAACAATTTATTCCATACTACTAAAAGCTGAAGAATATAAATTGCAGTATACTTAGATTTCATTGCACCTGTATTTCAAACCATAAAATGGTCAGAAAATTGGAAAAGATGAGGAAAGAATGAGACTTATCATACCACACTATAACCTTCTTTCCTGATTTCTGTATATTCCATCCTACGTTATTTCATAGGCTTGTGTTTCTATAGTCTAACATTCATAGCATACACACCTGGTTGTCCTTATCTTTTATACTTCATATAATATCATATACTTTTGCTTGCTTTGGGAGTCTTCCTAATTACACACAATAATGATGGCCCTCAAAACTATTCTCTTACTAACATTTGCTAAGAGCAATGAGGTTACTCCATCCAGTCAACATTTTAAATGTCTTTGGAACCAGGTGTCAGTAGCTCATGACTATTATGATAGCTACTCATGAAACTGAAATCTAAAGATCTTGGTTCAAAGCCTGCTCAGGCAGACAGTTCTGTGAGATGGTTTGTTTGCTTGTTTGTTGTGTCAGTACTGGGGCTTGAACTCAGGGCCTCATTCTCTTATTTAACATTTATGTTTAAGGCTGACTCTGCCACTTGAGCCACATCTCCACTTCAGATCTCTGAGACTCTTATATCCAGAAGTATGGCTTGGGATACTCGTTCTTCCTTGAATTGACTTTAACATTTCAAATATGGTTTAGTAACAAGATAAGAACATAAAGAACCCCAGCTCTCTAGCAAGGAAATGTAACTCATTCTGAAATTGAAACTTCAAGAAGGAAAGAAAATGACCATCTGTGGAAACTACTACAATATGTACACCATTAAAAAATATGATTCATAAGTATATAGTTACAAGTTTGTGGGAATAGTCTACCAAGTCCTGGGTAGATTCAGATTTGCTCCATAAAATCACCTGGAATGGGGGGATGGAAGCATTATAGATGAACCGCTGTATCGCCTAATGTATTATAATTCATGGTTAAGGTAACAGTGAAGGAGAGATGTCTTGATGTTGGTAAATGGTGAGGACAAAAAGTCTTCCCTGTCCTCCGCATTAGAGAAGAAAAGGCTGCTGCTGTTCTATAGTACATTTCCTTTTCCTGCATTTAAAACCTGTACTAGAAGGCTAAGAAAAAAGGATGGGAAAGAGTATGTCTTGGATTCAATATAATCTGTTATTACTATGTGTCAGTTTCCAAGTGTTTGCTGAGTTTTTCCCTAGGGAGAGTCCTAGGTTGGCATCATGAAGCCAATATTTGAGAGGAATCTAATCTTTGCCCTGTGACCTTGAGCAGGTTGGCTCTGAATGTATATCCTAAACCACAAAATGGGGTTGATAATGTCTGCCATAAACCATTCCTTGGGTTGTTGAAGAGATGTAATAAAATATATTTTTTAAACAAAAAAAATTAAAATGCTGTGTATGAACTTATGAAGCAACAGAGTAGATGGCAAGTAGATGGCATCTACTGGTTTTTTGGTTTGGATTTTTTTTTTTTCGTCAGTTGTGGGGCTTGAACTCTGGGCCTGGGCACTGTCCCTGAGCTGTTCAGCTCAAGGTGAATGAGTGCTCTGCCACTTGAGCAGAGTGCCACTTCCAGTTTTCTGGTGGTTAATTGGAGATAAGAGCCTCAGGGACTTTCCTGCCCCGGCTGGCTTTGAACAATAATCCTCAGGTCTCAGCCTCCTGAGTAGCTAGGGTTATAGGTGTGAGCCACCAGCGCCTGGCTTCTTTTATTATTTTAGCATGGATGTTAAAGGTGTCCTTTCTTCACAGTCTAAATCTAAACCTCATGACAAATTAGGTAAAATTGGCCATATATTCTACATGAAATAAAATATAAAACACAGGAAAAGTTCTAAGAATAGAAATGTTTGTTACAGCATAATTTATAGCTGAAAATAATATAAATCTCTACCAGTGGGAGACTGGTTAAACAAACTTTAAATCACCCATAAGATGAATTTATGCAGCTGAGCAAGTATTTATGAAGCATTTATAATGATACTATAAATTTTAATGAAGGGCTTTTAATATTTCGATTAGGTAATACAATTTCATATATATGAATGCTTAGAAAAATACATACCAATACCAATATCAATAATTTTTTCTGAGTGCAATTTTTTAAAATATATATACATTTATCTTTAAAATTGCCATATTGTAAGATTGGTAAGGTTTTCAGGAGCAATATAGCATCACAGCACTTAGAAAGCTCAATTTTTTTTTCTTTTTTTGGTGTAGTCTTGGGGCTTGAATTCTGAGTACCATGCCAAAGGTTTTTTTGCCCAAGGCTAGCACTCTACAGTTTGAGCCACGGCTCCACTTGCAGCCTTTTTGGTGGTTAATTGAAGAGTCTCACTGACTTTACTGCCCAGGGATGGCTTTGAACCATAATCCTCAGATCTCAGCCTCCTCAGTAGTTAACCAGTGTGAGCTGCTGGCACCTGGCTTACTCAGTTTTCATTAATGGAAGCAAGAGTCATTTGTATATGATTTTTCTAACCTGTATAAAGTGGTACACATCTGTAACTATGTTTATAGGTATATATGTTTGATTCTTTAATTTGAGATGAATGGTCTTCATTTATCCAAAGTAAGAGGACTCTAAGTCTCAGGTAGTGAAGAATTCCAGTTTTCTGCAGTAGGTAATAAGTGTGGTCTCTGCTCTCTCTGCCACAGGTGCTGATAGTCTGCAGCACAGGTTTGGCTGGGATTATGCTGCTCAACTACCAGCAGGATTACACAGTATGGGTGCTGCCTCTGATCATCGTCTGCCTCTTTGCTTTCCTAGTCGCCCATTGCTTCCTGTCCATTTACGAAATGGTAGTGGATGTATTGTTCTTGTGTTTTGCCATTGATACAAAATACAATGATGGGAGCCCTGGCAGAGAGTTCTATATGGATAAAGTGCTGATGGTAAGTACTGTTAATGACTCCTACTGCTTGAGAGATAATAAATAATAATAAAATTATTCTGCAAAACATTTTTCTACATTTCATTTTCACGATAGGCAATGGAGTGGTTCAGTTTAAACCGGTAATACTCACTCACTGCTGAAGTTCCTCTTGGGCAAATTAGGAAAGAAGGTCTTCCTGGCATGGAAAAGACCACTTCAGACTGCCTATTGGGACCAACACTGGTTAATAATCCTAAGTGTACCCTATTCTACCCTACTGTCACCCTCTGCAGCTAGATTGATTTGAAAACAGTTTTCAGTGTGCCTTTTAGCTCTTGACTTGGAATATTGGGCCACTGATATTCTAAGAACTCTTGAAAAGGGCATAAAGACAAAAAAAAGGCTAATTCTTAGATCTTAGGGACTGTTTCTCTCCAGCACTCAGTTTTCCAACTGTCCTTGCTGTTAAAACTTATCTCCTAACAGTGCCAGGTCAAACTGAAGGTGTTCCATAGTGAATATATATAACAGACCTCTGCATAATAGATTGTTTTGCATTTTCACATTTGTGAGTATCTGAATCTTTACCTAGATGCTATTTTCATGTATTTTACAGCTCCATTGCTCTGTATCTTCCCTAGATTAAGACCTCACTTAAAAGTTTTAAACAGTTTGAAAATCATATTTAGGTACTCTTTTCATCAACATTAAAGAATACCAAATTCTTCTTCCTCCTCTGCTTTCTTCTCCTCCTCGTCCTCCTCTCCTTCCTCCTCCTCCTCCTTGTCTTCCTCCTCTTTTTCCTCCTCCTTCTTTTCCTCATCCTCCTCTTCTTCCTTCTTTCTTCTTTTTTTTTTTTTTTGGTATGTGTATGTGTGCTGGTCCTGGGGCTTGAACTCAGGGCCTGGGCACACTGTCTCTTAGCTTTTTCACCACCACTTGAGCCACGCTTTTACTTTAAGCTTTTTTGTTGTGGTGGTGGTTAATTGGAGGTGAGACTCTCATAGTATTTCTGCCTACCTCAGTCTTCACATAACAGCCTCCTGAGTAGCTGGGATTACAGGTATGAGCAACCAGTGCCCAGTTAAAGATGCTTTTTAATAATGGTGCTTTACATTAAACAGTGAAACATTTCTATCTTGAAAAATCTGTAATAGTGAAGACCAAATACACTGAAATAATAAATCTTAGCCCAGGAGCACAATTTATCTAGTTAAATCTAATATTTTTTAGTAGCAAAAATTCCAAGTGTTTTAGTTGCTCTGTTTGTTACTTATTATCTTTTTTATTGAGACCATCATCAACTAAATTTTGGTCATTTTCCTAATGCCTACATTAATTCTAAATTAATTGTGTTCATATTTGTGTTCATATTTGTTCATTAAAGCATTTATAAGAAATGTTCGTTTTTCTTTAACCACCGATCAAAGACAAAGTAAAAAAATAGAATTTCTTTTTTTCTTGGGACAGAATCTTACCATGTAGCACACTTTGCCCTCAAATTTATTATCCTGCTGCCTCAGTTTCCTCTGTGCTAGGATTACAGGATTTACAGGATTGTGTACCATGCCCAGCCAAAAATACAGAGTTCTTCTTACTTCATTTTTCTGTGTAAGAATGACAACTGAGGATATTTATTGAAGATATACTCCATAAACTTTGACCAAATAGAAATGTTTCCTTTGGTGTGGGGGGGGGGAGGGAATATTCTCATTTTAACTACTTCTGACAACAAGTACTAGTTGATACTGTCTGCCTTCCTAGTTAATGAAACAATGTCAAGGTTAGATGGACACTTTAAAATTAGTTTATCTGTCATATGAGGGTTTTTTTCAGTATTTCATGCATTGCAGTATAAATACTTGTACCTTACAGGAATTTTGTTGAGTGGAGGCTTATAAAGCAGAACGTGATTATTTATTTGACCTTGATATGAAAATATGATATTCTAAGATTAAATCATGTGTTAAAAATGTTAAGTATTCTTCCTTCTAGAGAGAGCTAACATTATTTCTTGGAGCCTTGGTGAGATTGTCACAGTGAACGGATGGGGAGAGGTTACATCAACGTGCTGTAATCCATCCCCACAAATCTAGCTACTCTTATGTGTGATGCTGATTATTTACTGCTGTACTTATAGGCCATCCGTCTACCAGGGTTGAGTCATAAACACATGTAGATATGTAAGTTTATTTCTTCTGACTGAAACCCATGAAGACTCCAGAATTAATGAATATGGTCCATATTTTGCAGGAATTTGTGGAGAACAGTAGGAAAGCCCTGAAGGAAGCTGGTAAGGGAGGCGTCGCTGATGCCAGAGAGCTAAAGCCGATGGTAGGTGGAGATGAGGAGGCAGCCGCCCTCCAAGAATTTCACTTTCACTTCTTCTCTGTCTCTGTCTTCACCGACTGCACTTCTTCCGGAGAAGCATTTGTTATCTGTATCACACAGGACGTGCTGCTCTTTCTGTTTGTGTGCTTACCCATCACTTGGATGGCAGAGTGCTTGTTACAGCTGAGACCATCTTCTGTAAAAGTAAGCTGAAAGGAACAGCATCTTCACTGGTGCTTTGGGGCCTGGGGATGATGATTTGTGTTGCTAAGGTGAACCTGCTGTTTCTCTGATTGTCTTTCTAACTGTCAGTGTTTAGTTTCCATTTGACTGACCGAACCTTTGAGTATACACTTGGAACTTGACAGTTTGAGTTTTGTCATTTTGGAAGGTGATCATAGCAATTCCTTTCAACTTGCTCCAATTTATACTCTTCTTTTTCAAAGCCATTGTTCTCTTTATATCACCATCTTTCCTCTTTTGCTGACAGCTTCTGATGCCTAGATTCCACTTTCTTTGTTTCTTAAAACTTTTTCTATAGCAAGTTGCCATCAATCCTTTCCTAATACGGCCTAATCATTTTCCTGTTTATTTGTGAAAGACATAAATTCCCTAGTCATTTGGAAGAAAAAAATAATAACTAGTGTAAGAGAATCCGGAGTCATTTCTCACATAACTCACATAGCTATTCTTGCTGTGGCAGAACACCACCATGTCTCAAGCCTGTACTGGCCTAATTGGGACGGCAGTATCAAGTTCATGGAGAAGTGAGGAAGGCTTTCCTTCCTTCTACTTGCCTGGTTGTCCTCATTGCTCAGCAAATAAAGATTAGAAAGAGGACATTTAAAGATCTTAAACTATGAACTTGTCTTATCCTCCTTTTGTCTTCCCAGGGATTCTAACTTCTAAATCAGTCTTCTGTTGAAAAGCACTTGGAGAAAGGTGGTTACATTTGAGCCATGTACTTGGCCTGTATTTCCATATTATTCTTGAGGAAACAGCAGATGAGTTGTGGTAGAGCAGAATGCAAGTATGCCTTCCTGTCTTCACAGTTGAACTTATAGGCAGTAATCCTAAGAGAATTGCCCAGTTTACCTGGTAGTCTGCCAGAAACTACATTTGCAGAATATTTTTTCTAAGTAGTATTTTCGTTTTTAGTGTCCCTAGCCACAAATGATACATTCAAATCTTCCTTCCATTTTGGCTTTTGTTTTATGTTGTTCATCAGTTCACTGCTTCCCTGTGAATGGCAAAAAGTATCGCCTGTTGTGTCCTCAAACACATTACGTGCATTGTTCTTCTGGGGCTTCGGACATGGCAGCACTTGGTCCATAAGAATGTTCTCAGTGGTTAAAAACTTCCAACAGAGAAGTATGAAATGTTGTCCACAGTGCTGGAGTGTGACTCAAGAGATAGAGCACCCATCTGGCAGGTGCAAAGCCCTGTATTCAAACCCCAGTACCACCACAAAAAGAAAAAAAGAAATGTTGCACACAGAGTAGCTTTACTTTTTAATATGCTATTCCTTATCTTTCTTTTCTATCTTTCATAGTGTACATGGGTTACAGTTGATCTCTACTATCACTATGCTCTGGTGATTCATGCCTATAATCCTAACTCATCAGTAGGCAGAGATCTGAGGATCATGGTTTGCCAGCAGTTTGCCAGCCTGGGCAGGAAAAACCATGAGATTCTCAGCTTTAATTAACCACCAAAAAAAAAAAAAAAGCTGGTCTCCAATTAACCACTTAAATAAAGCTGGGAGTGGAACTATGGCTGGAGCAGTAGAACACTAGCCTTGAATGAAAAAGCTAAAGGACAGCACCCAGGCCGAGAGTTCAAGTCCCAGTACCAACACACACACTTGCACAAAAGAAGAATTATCTGATAAATACCTCCTTAAAATTGGGGGATTAGTAATTTCACATTGCTTATTTGTGTTTGTATATGTTATCTTCTTCAGTGAAAAGTTCTATTTTTCAATATGTCAAGAAACACTGCTGTTATCTGTTTTCCTCTTCAATGGAATATCATAATTTGAGCTTCATTTTTAGCCTATAAAATAGTGTTCCAGAAAATGAAGTTTTAAATTTTCTTTTTGACAAGTGATCACATTGAATGAAACAAGATAACTGTCAATTGTCTTGGACTTTTTCTTAAGAGAGTCTCACAAGTTAACGAAAGTTTGAAAGACCTCATAGGTTTTTCTATAATTCTTTGCAAGTGATTTTAGAAAAAAAAATTACCATATGTGAGGGAGTGGTTTAGGAAAATCTAATTATTTGTTCACTGTCCTATTGGGAAGATCTTTTAGAGGAAAAGGTCTGGGTGGGGAGAGGATTTGGGCCCTATAGAGACATGAGCTGGAGAATTATGTTTTTTATGTGCCTCAGATATGATATTGAAGGAATGTGACTTTTGACACATAGGAATTCAGCCCCATGTATACAGATTCCTTAAGAGGGAAGGAATCTCAATCCATTTTGACATGTGTCGTTGTTTGTTGACCATATATGTATTTGTAACATCGTTCACAATCTCCTTTTAATGGTAATTGTCTAAGATTATACTCTGTATGACTTTGTTTTCTAGGCTTCGGGAGCAAGTTCTGCTTGAACCTAGCCGGCGGTTATGGAACCCATTGACATTCCAAAACAATATATACACATAACTATGTATTTGTGTGTGTGGGTATGTGTATATATGTATATGTATGTGTGTATATATATATATGTGTATGTATATACACACACACACACATAATCAGCCAAAATCAGAGAAAAGGAACAGGGATTTAATACCTTTTTTATGCTTATTTTTGTCAAACATGTACTCCTTTCATACGGGTGGCTTTTACAAGGCAACTTCCGTCATTTAATGTTTTCAATTGTAATTGTCTTAATGGAGATGTTAGATTCATATCTGATTAACATTTTTAACAACTTAGAGGAGATTTTAACTTTAGTTACTTAGATTAGGTAAAGTTATTATACCAAATTCTTGTCCAAAATTGTTTTCAGGGGTAATTTCCCTGATGTGTGTATAACATCGAGATCTGATTTTACAGATGCATAAGTCCTAGCGCAAGACTAGGCATGTGCTTTCAGCTAAGTAAAGGAATTACTTCCGTCAGTTTCCCCCAATCAAAGAAGCCATGTCATTTTACTTTTAGAGACATACAGTGGGCCCATTATGAGAATTTTCATAATAGCTCATAATTTTCATAAAAGCTCATTTGTCCGCCAACATTAAAAAGTAACCAACTCCTCAGGTATTTGTAGTTTACCCTAATGCTTCTATAAAAAGAAAGTAGGAAAAAAAAAAGAAAAGGGTAGATAATCTTTCTTATGCAAACTTTTTTCTTATAATTTGTCTTTTCCTTTCTTTTCACTTTAGTAGCATCCTTCACACATTTGTGTGCCTGATTTGAAAGGAAGCTGGGGTACCCAGCAAGTTTAGCTTTAAGTTTCTGTGTATTGATTTGCCGATTAGGTAGTGCTAGGAGGAATAAAAAAGGGAAGAAAGCAGAGCATAAAGCATGGTGCTTGGGCTCTTTGCTTCAAAAGAATAGCAGTGGCTTAGGGTTAAACTGGCCATTTTATCCAAATGCTTGCTATAAAATCTGAAAACATACTGGCAGGTGCTCCGCTCCTTGGCAATCCATTGAGTATCCAGAGTTCTACAATGTTTCACTGAAGAATTGGTTAGTGTTTTGATCCTCAAGTATGAATGTTGTTTATGTTTGGGAGTGGGTTGGGGGCTTTTTGGTTTTTTTGTTATTATTATTCTTGAAGCTTACCAGATATGAATGGCTAATATTCCATTGTTCTGCTTATTGTAATGGTGAATGCTTTAAGAAAAAAAGTGTAATTTGCTAAGAATAATTCATGATCTGTTTATGCGATAACTCCTTTTTGTTACAATTTTTTTAAAAAAAGGCTATTTTTGTTAATGTAAAGTAAATATTTCAGAGCAAATTTTTTAAACTTATTGCACTAAATACAGGCTCTGTACAAAAAAAAAAAAGCCTCAGCATTTTATCATTCCATGGAAGGAGAACCTTTTGAAAGAAAGCATTGCCTCCTATCAGAATTAGACAGTGAATTAGACTGGAATTATGGACACTCATTCAAATTCATGTCACTAGGGCTTCATAAGTAGCTGTTTGCTATTGTGCTTCCTTTCAAAGGGTTAGACCTTTAAATTGCTGCAAAAGGTAAACTGTATTCTTTTCTAAGTATCGGTGTTCTTTATGCTAGCTAGGCTAAAAAAAAATTGCTAAATGCCTTGGTTTCTTTTCAAAGCTCATATACTATTTCTGATTTTTTCAGAATATTTGCAATAAGAATCTGGATTAAAAAAAAATAACAATAGAAAAAGAAAACCACACACACAATTTAAGAGTTCATATCTTAGCAAGATCTGGGAAACCAACATTGTTGATTTCAAAACTGCCTAAGCAGTTTTGAAATAATAATTCTCCAGAAGTTAATATCTAACACCTAATACTGCCAAATATATGTCAATGTCCTATGATATTAGTTGAAATGGAATACGTCTAATTGTGTAACTAACAACTGAGAGAAAAAATCCAGGATCTATCATGTATTTTGTAGCCATGCTGATTGTTGGGTGTTCAGAATCATTGGGAACTAACACTAGAATTGGTAAAAGTATAGAAGATGAGTACTAAAAGACAAGTCACTCCAGGAGCTAGCTATTTTAGGAGGTGTCCCTCCAAGGACCTGATGGAAGTCTTGAACTTGGAAATTAGGTTCTGCTCACTTGAACATCCCCACACCATGGACCCTCGCTGCTTCCGTTCCATGTGCTCGCAGTCTCCGCTATCTGGAAGCCACCAGGAATGCTTTCTAATCATCATTTGCAACTAGAACTGTAACCAGAAAGAAATTTTGTATTTTTGTATAACTTGACTGTGTGCCATTTTATATAACAGGTCCTGCTTTACAAATAAATTCTGTTTTACTAACATTGTGTTTAGAAATTATGATCTATGTATAACCATGTCATTTGAGTTTCAAATTAATTTCCAAGCTACTTTTTCATACGTAAATGTGTCTGCCATATAGATATATGAAGACATGCACATATATCTCCCAGCCACCTCACAGAGAGATGTTTGATATATGGAATATCACTCTCACATGAGCTTTATTATTTAACTTGATAAAGAAAAAAAAAACCGCACAGTGGCTTTTTAGCGACATGTAAATGTTTTCAGTTTTTGTTCTAATCTTCCTGCTGCCTCTCATTCATTGCAAGTCATCCTTCAACTAGATATGGGCTGCCTTACTGCTGTTCACTCTCTGCTTTTGTCTTCTGCCCAAGTGAGGAGAATAGATGAACAAAAATTAGCTGTGAGATGTGGATACCTGAATAGTTTTATAAGCCTGAATAGTTTTATATATTATGCTTTTCATTATTTTCTGTGCTGGTTCTTCAAAACTGCATTTTGGAGTATTGTCTTTATAGTTACAGCAAGGGTCCTTATGTAAATGGTCATAGTGTCTGGAGTTCAGCTATCATTTCTGCCACCAGATAATTAATGCCCTGGTGCATGAATTAAGACTCTTAAGATCCTGCCTCAAGGATAAACTGTGCTTTAATCTAATATGAAAGGCACAAGGTTACATTTCAATGTAAATCCACAAGGCACATCTTCAGTGTGAGGCTTAACAGTGCAATAATAATAAAACATTAGCTATTTAGCAAGGGCACTGAGATTATATAAATCATACATGAATAAGCAGAGCTCAAAGCAGGTTGGTCTTTAAACCATTTAATACAATGGTTAATTTAAGATTAAAGTTTTTATTTTGTCTTACAGATAATTAAGTCCTAAGTCACTTCGACTTACTCTTCATTGGTCTCCCAACATTTTCCATAATTTAAGGAAGAACCTAGTTTAAAAAAAAATTATACTTAACCCGTATGCACTCCCCACACACACACACTTTTCAGTGAAAGGCGTCTGCTAATTATAACCTCTTCCAATCTTACTGACCTTGGTATTTGCTAAGAGCTCTCTGGCTTTCCAGTGCAGTTTTCAAGATTTCATCCCAGTACTGGCTGATGGAGCTGACTCTTTTATTCTGGTCTTGAGCTGCTTTAAACACAATAATAATATTTTCTACTTTTCTGGCTCAAAACATCTATAAGAATTGCATGAATCAAATATATGCAAGACCACACAGTACACAGAGGCTTCAAACATTTCCACCATGCATAATCACTAGCTACTAAAGGCTGCAAGAAGTGCTCTTCCCACCCTACACACATGCAAAATAGTATTTTGGAATCAGCTCTGGGCATGGGATCAGCTCCAAAACCAGTGTTGTTGGTTATAGTGACTGCGATGTTCTATTCTATTCTACTCTATTCTAGTCCTATTTGAATGGAAGTTTCGAGTAGCCTGCGAAGTTTCCTTCAAAAAAGTCTTTAAATTTATACTTACAGTTAGTAAATTTTTTGCTGCTCTTCTGTGGCTGCTTTGGGAGAAAAAAAAAAAAACCTGAGAGGCTTATCAGTGCATCTGACACAGTTAATTTATGTATTCTTTTCATATATTCCATCTGTCAGAAGTGTTTGCCTAGTGTTGTTAAGATATGGTCTGTGAATATATATTGGAGAATTGTAGGATCATAAGCAAATGCATAAGGCAGAGTTTTGAATATTGTGTATTCATAACAAAGAATGCCTTTTGCTTTAAATGCATATTTGTGTAGCTCTGTACTAAGGAATGTATGTTAGCGCTTTTGAAAAGTAGCCACTTCGCATGGATAGTGTCTGCTTTTGGAACATATATAGCCTAAATTGTGGAAAAGCAGGACTCTTGAGTGTATCAAGGAAAAGAAAGAAAAAAAAAGATCTAAGGCTAGCAAATTTACAATGAACCAAATGTTGTATATACATAAAAATCTAGACTAGCACATGTTTCCCATTCAAATTTCATAAATTTGAGTCTAATTCTTATATCCACATTTTACGAGGACAGTTATAAACCAGGATTTGAGACTATCTTTTGTACTGAAAATTTCAGTGCAGTTTTTAAATTTGTGAATTTCTGTGGAAAAACATTTTCTATAGAAATACTACAGGGTCCTTTCTTCCTCCCCATCTTGATTTTTTTATATGTATAAAAATAAGCAAAGTCAGTTGCACTGCTGCATGAACTATTACTACTTTTATAAAGTACTTAAACAAGATTTAAGTTGGATATTTTCTAAGATAATTCATTAAGAATGTGTTTGAAAGATATGAAATTGTTAACAGACCCAAATGTTAGTCTCTTTGTAAGTTTTGATATTCAGTACTACATCCTGAATAATTTCCTCTAGACCAGAAAGCAGTGGTCTAGTTATTATGATCTAGTGGCACATGAAAACACTGACTTGCAAATATTCCAAATGTTTTCACTTTCATTTGCTGAGATCTTAATATGTGATATTCAAAAGTAGATTTATTTGAAGGGCTGTAGGTCTCTTTGAACTTATGAAAGCTTTGGACTGTCTTGCTCCTCAATGTAAATAGAACCTCGGAACATTTGAAACGTTCCTGGGAGTGATTGTGCCTCTACTAACAATCCTCTGGCCTAGAATCATTTTTATAACAAGAGTTTGTATAGTTTAGTACCAGGTTTGGAAATAGAGACCATTAATCTGAGTGGATAACAGAAGATCGGCATTGAATCTTTTTAAGAATAAGGTTTCCATTGAGGTGTGAGGGTGTATGTGTCTTGGAGGAGTTTTTAGCAAGGTACCAAATTTTTTTCAGTGGACCCCTCCCCCAAAAAAATCCAAGAAGAAATAAATATAGAATCCTTAATTACTATCTACCATGACACTTGTGTAGGATTGAGGATGTAGCTTAAGTGGTAGAGCACTTACTCAGTATTTCTTAATATTGAAAGAAAATGAAGATGATAATTTGGTTGTAGTTGAGATATGACATTATATGGCATAGTGTTACCAAATATCCCTTCTAATATCCGTCAACATGACCAAAAATAGTTAAACAAAATACAACAAACTGACGAAAGAAATAATGGAAATCTGTAGGAGTAGATGCTGGGACTTGAAATCCCAAAAGTCTCTCCCCTTCATAAATCAGGGAAGTGTTTGGCATCTTTCCACTCACTATGGCAGAGCTGCCTTGGACCCCTCTGCCACTGGGGCCATGCCTTTCTCCATCTTCCTTTAAGCACTTCATTTACTTTATATCTACAACTTGTGAGTATGTAAGGGTACTGGCATCTGCATGTCAGCTCTCCCCAAATGCTCTTTATATCCTTAGGGGGGAAAAAATCCTTAAGGGAGTTTTGAAGTTCTTTAAAAATTGGAATTCAAGTGGGTCCTGATTTCATATAGTCAGATATCAAACCACTACCTGCATTTTTAGGCTGAAGAAAGCAGTTGAAATCTGAGGACTGGCTTGAGGAATGTAAAAAAAAAACGAGAAAAGAACTTCCCTGCCCTCCCCCTTCCCCTAAAGCTTTGCCTTTCACAATGTAAAGAAAACCACTACTAGACATTTCTATACCAGGTGGAAAAGAACAAATATCCAGTCTAATTTGCTAGATACTTTCATCATAAAAGTGTGACAAAGACAATAGATAATATTCTGACTTCTGTGTATGAATCTTATCCATATGTCCTGCCAGCTAGGAATATAATTTGAGTTAGTTACTGCATGAGAAATATATAATACAGGAAGTGGTGCTGTAGCTCAAGTGGTAGAGTGCTAGCCTTGAGCTGAAGAGTTAAGGGACAGTGCTCAGGCCCAGTGTTCAAGCCCCACAACTGACCAAAAAAAAAAAGGAAGAGAAATAACATGATATACTAGTTCATGTGGGGGAAAAAAAAAGAGTAGGCATTGAGAAGATATGAAGAGTAAATGGTCAGATAGAGCAGCCCCATGAACTGCCTGCCCAGAGTGTGCAGACCCTCTTATTTTTATTTTTATTTATTTAGTTATTTTTGTCAGTTGTGACGCTTGAACTCAGGGCCTGGGTGTTGCCCCTGAGCTTCATGCTCAGGGCTGGTGCTCTGCCACTTGAGCCACAATGACACTTCCAGTTTTTGAGTGGTTAATTGGAGATAAAAGTCTCACAAGAACTTTTCTGCCTGGGCCAGCTTCAAACCCTGATCCTCAGATCTAAGCCTCCTGAGTAGCTAACATTATAAGTATGAGCCACCAAGCACCAGGCTACCCTCTTCTTTTACAATCAGGTCAAGATTCTTCTCCTCCAACACTTTCGTGTTAGGAATGTGACAGTAATAGAACAGCTTTGGAAGTGGGTGTCTTGAAATGGACTGCTAGATACATTCTCCCCATTCTTTGTGTCCCATTTAGGTTTGTGTTTTTTTACTACTCTTATTAATTTGGATTTTCAAGGATCAGATGGAAGAAATTGTTTTCTTTTAAAATTTCCTAAGCTGCTAGATTTGTTCATGTTGGCTGGTTTCTTTTCTCCTCTGTGATAGTACTAAAAATTCCAAATGAAAAGTTTCCATATTCATGACACTAACTGCACTCCTGATCTTATGTCTAGTGAAGTTAAGATCAACTGGACTGACTTGATTATAGAAGGAAAAATAAAAATAATTTTTTAAAAAGCAGGGAGAAAAAGTATGCTGGGCATCTTAACAACATGATAGAGGCTCTGGACTAACAACCAAAGACAAAAGCATGTCTTCTGAAAACCAAAAGTCCAGCCTTACGTACTCTCTGGCACAGCCTTTCTGACCATGAGTTGAAGACAGGCCTCCTAGAATAAGGTAATCAACCCTTTTAAAGACCAGTCAATAAATTAAGGACCTGCTATTAATCTCACACACAGTCTTCCCATCTAATGTCAGCCTTGCCCTTCATACTGGGTGGTAAACTCATCAAATGGCACACCAATGAGTCTGTATACAATTTTTTATGCCCTGATATCCAGCAGGAGAAACATGTTGTGCCACATATTTC